TGCTACTCTGGGTTCGTCTCTAACGGATGAAAGCTGCCAGTAAAGTTTACCGGATATTAAATCAGATCAGATAAAATCCTGATCAGATATCAAATGTGGCAGATGAAAAATAATAACCTGCTGCGATAAAGAAACACGTTCAGCCGTTTATTGACACACATTTCAGTGTAAAGTTACCACCATCTGTTAAAAGACAGTAAATCAATTTGGAGCTCGAATCTTCATCTGTCAAGCTCTACAACATCGACTGAATCTAACCAAACATAAAACTGAATCTGTAACTGCGGCTCACTTGCTCCTAATTGCCAAATGATTTATTAAAGTCTCAAATGAAAGCACAGAGGATAAACGTCAGGATCACAAAGAAATGCTTTACATCTCCTGCTTGGCGCACAGGTTTGATTGTTGCTGTAATTTATTACAGACCTGAGAAGCGGCATCTTAATCACACGCATTGATTGTGCAGAAAGCAGCCAGGGAGGCAAATAATTGAATGCCTTGATCTCTGAGGTGAAAGTGTTGTAAATATGCCTGCAGGGCAGAAGGAGGCGTTAATTTGATTCCACACGTCATAAAGATTTATACACGAAAGAATGAAAAATAAAACAAGCGAGGAATGTCTCAGATTCCACAAAAACAGGCAACATGTTGGATAAAGAAGCAGCCAGAAATATCATCCTGAGCTCTGTTTATTTCTCATTCACTGAGCTGGAAGCTTCATCCTAATTGATCAAAGATCACATCAACATAATCCTCAGTTTTTGCTCCTTTTAATAGAAACACAAAAAATAAAACATCCTATGGAAACCTGGCTGTTTCTCTAACATTTATTTAGACGTATGTTTATTTCACAATACTGAAAATTTCAAAATGAAATTAAAATACAGATGAGTAAAACATAAACGGAATAAACATCAACATGCTCCACTTTGGTTCCCACTGTAAACACACAGGTGTGCTGCAGGCAGGTGGGCATCGTTTGGAGGTTTGGCCTGTTGGGACTGAAAACATCTGAAAACGATAAAAGAATCAGCTGCTCCAAGTTTACTCAGAAAGCAGCCATGTTCAAACTAATTTATCATCAACAATATGGTGGATTTAATCTGAATGTTCCTAATTCTGTTTTCAAGCAGCAAGTGATAAAAGTTCTGGGTTTTTCAGTTCAGTTTTATGTTCTTGTGCCTTTTTGTCTAATTAAACTGGTTGTTTGTTGTAATTAGTTTTTCAGTTTTTCTTAGTTAAATATTGTTTAGTTTTTATTAATTATAGCAGTAGTTTTAGTTTTTTCATACTTTTGGTTAATTTTTAGGTACAGAATTAAAAACAAAGTATTGTGATTGTGGAAAAGACTGTATAACAAACTGCCATGCTGAGCCTTTAAGGGGCGGGGCTTAGAGCAGCTGCAGCATGCAGACGAAGAAAGAGAGAAAAAAAAGGGTAGAGTGTAAAGGAGTATAGTTTATGTTCGCATTTGTTTATTTAACTTGCCGTTTGCCGTTTATTGTTACCTTCCTTGATGTGTGTGCGTGGAAATACAAGTAAGTGATGGTAAATATTAATAATATTGTTTATTTAGCAGAGTATTTTAGTTTTACCCCTAATTAAGAGCATGCTCTGTTCACGTGCACACTTAAGAGTCATACACGGTG